ATGAGCAAAGTGACTTTTCTTTCATCTTAAGAAATGAATGAAAATACAAATACCAGTTATAGATATGATAAGCTAGGAGGTAGTTAATGGAAAGCTATTACTTGCTCCTTACATTCTCAAGTATTCGTTATTTTATATGTGCATGTGTGTGTGTGTGTGTGTGTAATTAATCATTTCTTTACTCTGAAAAAAAATAGTTTTCAAATGACCAGGGAACCACAATAGAACATAAAAATATCCCATCTTTTTGACATAAAGAAAACAGATAGTAATCATGTTAGCTTTTTCCAGCAGCATACTGAAATACAGAATCTGACCAACAAGTGCCAAAAGAATTTGTACTAACAAAATGCTGCTGCTTTGCTTTTTCATTAAGCTTGTGACCGCAGCCAGTGAGGCTTCAGAGTTGTAGTGAGCTAAAGTTGCTGCCAGCATTAAGGTGTCACACTGCCCTACTGAGTCTACCTAAATATTCACAACAAGATCTCCAACATGGGGTCTAACTTTCAATAGGGCTTATGGATATTCAAATGCAGCAGCAATTCTGGGTCATTTCTATATAAAAAAGCATAAAGTGCCCAACAACACTTCAGTAAAGAGATGGAATCAGTTGCTCTTCAGTTGGAGGTTAGTTTGGCCCTGCCTGTTACTTTATTACCTTCACATTAATAACTTGAAAGACCTCATATTCATCATTACTGGCGTAGTAAATTTAACGTTAATGATTAAAATAGCTATCTGCATGAAGCTTAGTGATACTTCTGTCATCCTGTGTTTTATCACATAAATATAAATACCATAAATTAATATATAAATGGTCAAGCACAGGGCATAAAATTATTTGTGTCTTGATGTGCTAGTCATTCTGAAACTAAGTTAGACAAAGTAAATACAGTACTTGTGAATGATACTATTTGCATATTATAACTAATTAGCAAGCACAATAACATCGTCCTCAGGGAAAGGTCCACTGGCAACTTAATTCATTATCTTCTATTATTGTGTATCATGTTAAAATGACAAGCATCTTACACAGTGTAAGTCATCACAATTTTAATTAATACATCCAGACCTGATAAAAGCATACCTCCTGGTTTTTGTCCATGCTGAGCCCTCCTCAGTTTTTATACGTAGGCACCTCTTCAAAGTGTTCTTTCCACGTTCATTTGCTTAGAAAGAGAACACATATTGTTTTAAAAGTTTTTAATGAGAGTTTTACATGAAAATGAGTTTAATAACCAGTGGAGTTGCCAGGAAAATATATATTCTCCCTTTCCTTGAAGAGTAACTGTGGCTGTGACAGTAAATTAACCCGCTTGCTGCAGAGCACACTCAGCACTCCCTTCTGCAGGAGAAGCTCCTCTGCCCACACAGCCGTGACCCAGAGGCAGCTCCCCATGGACCCAAAGCTTTGAAACCAGGGACAGATCCTCAGGCTTGGGGACAGGTTTGTCACCAGAGGAATATATGTAGCAATATGATTATTCCTTAATGATGTCTTTCCTGATTCAGCAGCAGGGAGTCCCTGGTAAGAGGTGGCATTGAGCAAAATCGCTCCAGTCACCTCCTTGGGAGACTGCTGCAAGGCTTTGAGAAGGATGGTGCAGGCCTGCACGACATTTCCACACAACATCCTCTGACATATTCCATAAATTATATACAATTTAATTTTAGGGAATTAAGGATTCTGATTCTGCCTTAAATTTTAGGCTCTATTTCGTGGGTGTAGAGAGCAGGAGACAATATCAGAGGTGCCTGTGCCACCACCTGGACCCACCGGAGATCTGCCTTCTAGAGAAGCCTTTACTGTGAAATATCATTGGCAAAAAAAAAGAGGCACAAGTGCTCCCTGCATCCCTGGCCTTCAGCTTCAGTATTTATTTAGCCCAGGATATAGGTTTTTTTAAAAAAGAAAAAAAAAAAGTTTTACTTTTGATCTTCCTCAGATAATATCTCACTATCCTAAGCGAGTCCTTCATGGGAGAAAAACAGCTGCAGAATCAGTCACTTCCATCTATCTTAGAACTCTGCTGACCAGCTAGGAAATTATTCAATATTATTATTATTTGAATTATTGACGGCTGCCTTTCTAAGTGCTACTAAGCTTCAAATATTTTACTACGATGTACTGTTTTTAAGTGAAGATTTCATATTCAGCACTAGCTTAACTTCACCTTCATTGACATTATTTGGATTTGGACTTTTAAATGTATGAAGTAAGTTTTGCCTACTCAAGAAAGGATTTAAAAAAAAAAAACAAAACACATTCAATATTTCAGTGCCTGCAGTTTCAGAAAGGAGTCCAGGCTGTAGCCTTATTTATTTCATGCTCTGTTTGGACGGGAGCTTTGGCCTCAGGTTTGCCACATCTCAGCCCCTGGGCTGCTGAATAATTCCCTCCTTTTGTATGTTTTCTGGCTTAAGTAGATGAAACCCAGCCAGGTCATAAATCTCAAACGAGCTGTGGCACAGGCTGGACACACTGGTTTGTCACCATCGCGATTCAGGTAGTTCTGGGCACCAAAAATCACCAGAACATCAAAATCATCTGTACAGTATCAAACCATCATTTGTGAAGCAAAAGTCGTATTTTTTCAGCTATAGGTTTGCTTTTAGAAGTGGAATTCATGGTGAAATGCTGTGATTTCAGTATGCAGTTTCTGCTGAAGGTCCAGTCTGTTTTGAGCTTTTTTTTTTAAAGGCATTTTTAATCATGAATTGAGGCAAAAGACTCACTGCACCTTTTAGCATCAGTTTCTGCACCCGGGACCAAGCAAGCAGGACAGCACACTGCTTAATGTGGCCACTTTTTCAGAGCAGACATTAACTGAGGCTTTTTCATGCACAGTTGATTTTGTATAAACTGATTGACACCTTTGGGGGTCGTCTTTCCACTGACTCATAATTTTGCTCACTCTTGAAAAAGGCTCCTGTACACCCAGTATTCTCTAGTTAAAGCTGAAAATTCAACTCATCATATTTACACAATCAAAAAAAATCCATTCTGCGTGGTTTTTAATTGCAAATCCTACTCAAGGGACCAATTCTCCTGCTTAGGAGGCAGCCCTGTGCCTTCTACTAGAGAACCAACTGCAGTCAATTATGGTAATGAAATGTCAATAAATATAAAAATTTAATACACCCTGCTCGTGGTGAGCGGCAGATGAGGACTTGCCTCCCAGACAAATTTGCTGGTGCTGCAAATATTAAATGCACCTGAAAGAGTAGCAGGGTGCCCAAGAGTTCTCCAGTACAGGGATGGTGGGAGATCCAGACACCTTTTGGGTTTTTCCATTACACTATAATCGCTGCAGGAAGGCCAGTCATGTTCTTGACATCCAAACATCTTAACTTATTATCATGAAGTGAATAGCATATTCCCCCTACAAACTGGAAGCTCAGTGAGGGATTCTTGAGATTTTTTTTCCCCTCTAATAAAGAATTGCGGTTACAAAAGGGAAATTAAGTTGTGAATGAATTGACTCTTGTATGTGAACAGCTTCTCAATAGGAAGCAGTTAAATCATGTCGCCATGTTAAACTCCTCTTCCAATAGAAAGTGTTAGGGAGGTGTTATTATTTTTTTACTTATTATGTAAGTATATATATTCTTACATGTTTATGTTCTTACATATATAGACAGATATAAACAACCAATTAAGTAGTTTATGAAAGGAAGTATGGCTGGGAATCCTACAGACTACATCTTAGTTTTCCCACATATTTTTTTTGGCCCCGAGTAAGCAATTTAATGTCACTGCTCTGGTTTTCCCAGGGGTAAAGGAGGGCAGTAAAACCTATCTCACACAATACTTCAGCGCAAACACTTGACTTTATTGAAATGTAAGCACAAATTTCAGTGCTCTGCAGAATTGGGGTAGTTGCATTCTTAACATTCACACAAAAATGTACCTTCACTTTTCTTCTTACACAGTTGCCTCAATCAATGACTTGGGAGCACTAAGTGACATATAAGTAAAGCATCTTATTTAAAGTCAGTAACCTATTGATTATATTAAGGTTATCACTAGGAGAATTTATGTTAGTTCCTTTCAATTACTTACCTATATTTCCTGTTGAAATGTTGGCAGGTGTAACATCAGTTGCTCTTTCCTTTGTTTTACTCTTGTTTATGGTTGGGCAAAATCAGTTCAACACTTTTAAGATCCAAAAAAGATGTTTCAAAATGCAATGTTCCCTAGCAATTATTTTAAAAAAATAGATTTTAAGAGATTAGTGATAGAAAAATAGAAATGTGCAGTATCTATCTTTCCTCTAGCACCACCTGGAATTTATTAACTTCGTTATTGCGGGAGTCCTCAAAGAGCGGATTAGAGCAGCGATACCTTTAAACATGTCATTAACTCACAGAGTGCACTTACCACTGTGCTTGGTCTCTCTTTAGGGCCAGGCACGGTTTATTCAATCACGTTATGTGGATATATGAGGTGTGGTTGCCAACGCTGTTAGGGAGGTTCCTGGAATGGAAAGGCTCTGCAAGCCCTGGGCAGCCAGGCAAGAAGTAGATGTTTCTGGCCGAGTTGTGAACGCTGGATCATTTCCCACAAATACCGTTATATCCCTCTGGAGTAACGCAGCCAGCGTAGGCATGAAGGCCACTTCATCAGGATCTCTCCACCGGATTCTACAGTTACAGTCAGAACAAGAGACACCAAGGGAATAAAGCAAACTGACACGGGACACCACTACCGGTGCCGCGAGCAGTACTCATTTACAACGCTTCTAAAAAAAGCTAATGCAGACAATCCGCATCCACACAGATGTGACACACCATTAAGATACATGGCTGAATAATATTTTCATTGTATAGAGTTGTGCTAAAACAAGCTGGCATCTAAAATCATCCTGACTTGATGGCTTTATTAAATTGAGAGTGATTCTTTTGACTGGGAGTGTCCCAGTGGTGCGGGATTGCTGGAAACATCCTAAAGTGATTCTGTGGGCCTGATAATCATTCAGAAATATAACTCTCTCCTACAGGTGGATTATTCAGTAATAGCATCTCAAGCTGGAGCCACCCTCAACAACCTCATGAGCCATGCACAAGAACTGGTAGCAAAGCTTCGCTCCCTGCAGTTTGATCTACGGGAATTTGTATGTCTCAAATTCTTGGTGCTCTTTAGTTTAGGTAGGTAAATTCTATTCTTCATACACTACTGACTGTTGATTTTGGTGTTATTCGTTACAAAACCTTTTTTGTTTTTTCTCATTAAAAACAAAGTAAGACTTCAAAATATGTTTTTTGATTTTTATCATAATAATCTGAGGATTATCTTTTAAATATCATTTGCAGAAAAATCACGTAGCAGGGTTAAAAGTTGATTTCTATGGAAAGGATTCCTAAAACCTATGGAACTTAACAGAATATTATATGCTGTCTGTAGGCAGTTTTTGAATATCCCAGACCACAGATACAATTCTACTATAAATTCTAGGGGTGGTGGAAAAATTTAGAATAGTGCATCTTCTATGATATGTGGTGTAGTGACATGGGGTAGATGGAGATGGGACATGAGTAAACATGCCCTTTTTAAAAAAAAAAAAAAGTATTTGCATGGTAAGTATAAATCATCTTTTGTTGGCATTCTGCTGTCACATTGCAACACAAACCAGGAAAGTAACTAATAGCTTTTAATGAACTACAAGAGGCACTGTCTTGTAAATTGAAGTGTAAATTAAAGGCAATAGCTTTATGACCAGCTCTAACTAGGAATAAATGGAGGTTGTTTTGTACTAGTGGAAATCACTCAGAAAATGGAAAAGATACCTATGCAAGATGAATTAGTGAAGCCAGTACCTTCCAATGAATCAGACAAAAAAAAATGGCCAGAAAAACACTAGGAATAAAAATATAAATAAAAAAAGGATTAGGGAGTTGGATTCCTATTGTTCCTATTCATAGGCACAAATTTTTCTGCCTGCCTGCTGTTTTAGGTTTGCACTCTGTTGATTTAATAAAGCTGATTTAAATAAGCTTTGGCCAAGTAAATTTTATTTACTGGCTCATAGTTGAAAGAGACTTAATATCATAAATAAGATCAGATTCAGCTACCCCTACATAGCCAAAACTCCATTTTTATTCAAAAGGTATTTTGTGTGCAGAGACCAATCTGTTGAGCCAAGAGCAGCAATGAATGAAATATCACCATTAGTGACATGTACTAAAGTTTTTCTCAAATTTTCAATTTAAAAAATTCTTTGGTAAAGGAATAAAATTCTACAAACCTATTATGATAATAAAATTGCATTTAAACTAAAAACAGCAAGATGTTTTAATTATACTGTAAACTGTCAGTTACTGCCTTAATTATGTCCTTGCGTATAGGTTTTTAGAATTCAAATGGAATTTGAACCTGCTTCAGAAAATTTTAGGTGAAGTTTTTTCTTCTCTGAAATATAGGTAGCATAGAGACAGTCATCAGTATATGACATGTAGAAATAAATTAGAATTATTTTAAAAATCAAAATTAAGTTAAAAAAACTTTAATGAACCATTTACATTCTGAATCCCAGGAAGACATGATGGATTTATCTGGTAACCATTAACCTTTTGCATTCAGGGTTTGCATCATCCCATGTTTTAAATTCAGAGAAGGAAAAGCAAACCATCTGTTGCAGAAATTGTAATGTTTTATGACTTAATTTGATGAAAAACAAGAATTCGGATTTCGTAATTCCTAACAAGCAGGCTTTCCCATCATTGGGTAGTGGTACAGAAATCTCTGAAGAGCCTTGTAGACTTTTTCTGATAAAATATTTAGAGACTTCCTGTCACCTCAGGGATATTTTAAATTAGCTGAAGTGGTTTGGAAAATATTCACATTTAGACGGCCCTTGTCATTGATGACTTTCTTCAACATACTTTTCATTAATTTAGGACTTTTTCTTTCTTTAGTCCTTACCCTAATTCTGCCAGATGTGGTCACAAGGAGCGGGCAAGTGCCCCTTTCAGGCTTGTGCCAAGCCAGCTCATCCCATTCACATCTCATTGATGCCACTGTAAAAAGAGTGAATTCTGCTGCTAACAGGAGCCTTGTAGTCAAGCCTCTTGCATGCAGAAATGATACAGCTAAGAAAGGTTCAACACCTTTGAAACTGATTAATTCAATTTTTAGCATACTGCATAATTCGGTTTGCTAATGGCCAAAGCAAGATGTTATGCTGCAAAGAGCAGAATGTAAAGATGTTACCACTTGACCACAGAACTAGGGCCAAGTTTTAATGAGAATCATGATCAAACTGAAATGAAAAGCTCAGTAACCCTTTCCAGCTAAGCACACAGGTCTGTTCCCAAACACACGAATGAATAGTCTGGCTTAAGTTACAGTGAGCACTCACATTCTTCGACTGTTTAGGAGTCAGGTTTTTAAAGACATGGAAGTGCCTAGGAAAGCTGGCAGACACCCAACAGCATTGTCAAATCCAGCTAAGCATCAAACTCCTACTGAAATAACTGGGAACAATCATTATATCTAAGCATCTAGGTTTGTCTGCCACATATCTGCATCTGTTAGGCATCTCAGTAGGAAAGTGGTCTTAAGGCCAAAAATATATCATTGAATCAAAACAAATTTTTCGAAAACCTGAGCTGGCTCTTGTTGAAAATCGGGTCTTGTAATGTTCAATGAAATAAAAAGCACTTGAGGACATACCAGACTTTTCACACTTCTACGGATGTTCATTCCACAGTGTGAACCAAAAGCCTTATACTATTATATAGTACACACTCTCCCTCTCTATATATGTGTATATATATGTCTTATACAAAACCTTTCAAAGCCAATGTGAAGTTAATAACCCAAGAATTAATTTATTAACAAGGCTGTTAGCTGCAGTTATTAAAAAAAAAAAAAAAAAAAAAAAAAAAAAAAAAAAAAAAATAAAATATGAGGCTGTCTTCTCTATCTGTTTGTAATTCAGGGCTCTACTGTATAGTCTGTATCTTCACAAGATTGCAATCTCCTTGAGGAGAAAGAACTCTGTCTTCATCTTTTTTTCTAACATTTCAAAAGTGATTAGCCTTATAAACTAAGAGTAAAATAATATTCAAAACCCAGAGCACATACAATTTTGTCAAAATATAATTAAATCCTGTCAATCTTGCTTGCTATATTTTAAATATGAGAGGTACATTGTTAGTTATTTACTCGTCAGAGGTTCCAAAGGGACAAGAAAACCCTTCTGAGCGATAGTAGCATTACAGGCTGTTGAAGTAGCCTTTATGGCTAGCAGTGTACAGCTCTTTCTGCAGTAAGACCAACAAGTGAGTGATGCCATCCAGGAACATGTGTTCAGGTCCTTTTTCTAGTACTGTCTAGTCTCTCTGGGCCCATATGACCAACACTGCCAAGTAGAGAATGATGCAGCCGATTCAGCAATTATTGGATAAGACAGAATACTTCGGTAACTTAGGGTGACATGTCCTTAATTTCTTTCTTTCTAGTATTAATATATTTAGAATTAGGTAACTTTTAAATTTCCTCCAGGTTCTTTAAACCCAGGTAGTTCTTACCTCCCTGTACATAAGCGAGTCCCCTTTCATGATGGTAGATCTTCAAAGGTCAGTGACTGCATGTCTGTCCACCACAAGTGGTTCCTCACGCCATCAGCACAGTTCTAGTCACTGCCTGTCTCCAATGGTGAGCAAGTCCATCATACCTGGACTCTCATTCTCAGCAGAAAGTCAGTTCTCCTGAGTTAGGCTGTTGCTCTGGTGCTCCTGTAGGGTGAGAGCCTACAAGGAACAAATCAGTGTTTACAACCAGCAAGGTCATCCCCATCCCGCTGGGGACAAGCGATTCGAGCGCTGTTGAGACATAGCTCTATTTCAGGCTAGCAAGGGACAAGAGCCTTGCACCAGCATGACATTAAGTCACTGGCAGAGCTCCCCTCCTTCACAGCTTCACTGCACCATCATCACTCGATCAATTGTTCTGTAAAGACGTGCACATTTGGGCTAGACTTGAATTCGCTCACGTTATTCTGATAGCCATCAACTTGCATGATCTGCAGAGCAACATGCTGTGCTAATCCAGCAGGATTCTTTTAGGGACTCGTGATCCATCTTCCCCTGAATGAGTCCCCCAGCTGTGTACCTCTTCACTGCACACAAATGTGTTGCTTGCAACACTCATGACACATCAGAACAACATTATGGGGATCAGCCAACCTGACCCACACCAGGAATCACAGACCAGCAAATATAAACAGGGCCTGTGATGGTACAAACAGATTGGCATGCTCTTCCAGGCTGAAATCCTGGCCTTACTAAAGCCAGAAGGTTTCCCAGTGATTTTACTGTAACCAAAATTTGCCTCACTGCTTCTTTCATTCTTGTCCTACAGCAAAATAATGCTCAGCTCAACATTTCATCAATTAAATTTGCTAAATAACTAATTTTAAATGTTGTTTTAAGAAGCAAATGAGTGTCTTACACAGTATACTTTCTGGACCTGCTGAGACAACAGATCTCTCTTCATTTTGCCATCCAGTATCTTTATAGGCTGGTCACTTAACCTGAAATCAGCTGTTCTCTCTTTACCAAAACTTCCCATTTGTCCTGCCAGTTTTTATTATCTGAATTCAGCAAGGATGATTTGTCAAACCTCCCATCAGAGCAGTTTGTAAAGTGAAATGCCAATAGGAGGGAAGTTAGATGTCATTTGACCCATGTCGAGGCACTTGTCTGCCCGCTGAGCGAAATGCTGCAATAGGCAGCGGCTGCCGGGTACTGCTCCCTTATCACTGTCAGGGCCCAGATAAATGCACTTCATTTAAGAAACGAAGGCTTTATCAATGGGCAAATAATTGCAGAGCCACTATTGATCTCAGAGCTCACTTACCATGAGGCAAGAGGGACCTGTAGGAATGGCAAACATGTCATCGCTCCGTGGGGCAAACAACGGGCTCCTGCTTGAGCAAAAACAGAGATGTCTTTTTCTGGCAAACCACAGAATTACTTACTTAAGGTGACAGCCACGTTCCTCTAATGAGGCAGTATGTCCATGCTCTTTTAGATTAGTCATTCCTTGCTTTTAGCTCTGGCGCGTCAGAGCTGAGATGGGAGGAGAACAAGCCTCATTTTGGGGCTCCACTGTCTACTCTTTTGGAAAGCTTCCTGTCAAGATCTTCATGCA